GTGCTTGCTGCCAAGCCTGACAACCCGAGTTCCTTCCTTGGGATTCACAGGATGGAAGGAGAGAACTGACTCCTGCAAGCTGGCCTTTGATCTCCCCACACACATACACACACGAACTAAATCACTGTAATTAAAAACATTTAAAGCCATTTCCAAAGGTGTTTTTTCTCTTCTGTGCCACCACAGGTTCCTCAGGAAAGCAAGCTTTGTTTCTTCTATCCACCCTCCAGTATAAAGAGCTGTGTGCTCTGGGGCGGGTGGTTCTGATTTGATGGCCCTGTGTGCTCTGAGGCGTGTGCCCCGAGTTGCGTGTTCCCTTGCCACACACAGGTTCCTGTTCATGTTCAGCTTGTCTTGATGGGCCCTTCAGCAGCAGATTTGCCCCCAGGAAGGGCAGAGCAGTGGTGGGAGAATCACTGGCTCCTCGGTGGCCTTGGGCAGGAGGTACAACTATGGCCAAGTTACCAAAGCTTTCCTGCGACAGCGTTCACTCTCTTCTGTCTCCCATAAACAACCACATTTTTGGCCTTTGCTCATGTTGAGTTTCCCAGTCTTTTTTCCCAGTTCTCAGACTGAAGACCCAGGTTGAGTACCCGCGCCCCCCCCCCATTGCATTAAACACTGACATTTTCTCTGTGTTGAACTCCCATCGTACTTGGGGTTTGGGTCCCAGTTAACCCAGTTGTCCCCCAACAGTTCTGTCTACAAAGAAGCTAATCAGCTCTTTAGGTGAAATAGCTTTCTGTCTCCCCTCCCCCGCTCCAGGTCCAGCATATTCTAAGCACCTGGGTGATGGCTAATAAGTAGCTGTTAATTAATATTTTGGTAAATTGAAAGTCCTTGGGTGCACTTTTTTTTTTTTTTTTTTTTTCTGAGACAAAGTTTCTCTGTGTAACAGTCCTGGCTGTCTTGGAACTCACTCTGTAGATCAGGCTGGCCTTGAACTCACTGGGATTCACCTGCCTCTGCTTCCCAAGTGCTGGGATTAAAGGCGTGCGCCACCACTGCCTGGCCTTGGGTGAACTTTCAACAAATTATTTACTAAAAGCTATTCATAGACCATATGTACTAAAACTGCCCGGAAAAGAGTGTGAGATTCTTTCTGTGTCTTAGACAGCCAGGTCAGCCGTCAGAAGCAAGGTGACATCGCTATTGCTTTATATAGCACAGAATCTCTTCAGTTTCCAACACGCAGTCCACAGGATAGTGACGTGATCCCGTCACAGAGCGCACCTGCAGGGTGCCAGGATGTCAGTTCACAAGGGAACTGCCTTGCCACACAGCAATGGCTGAGGCATGGGCGTGGCTCCACTCACACTTCCCAGGCCTAGCTAAAAGTCGAGGCAGTCACACCGGGATCTTGAGTTTAACTATGCTTGACTTCAGAGCTTCAGATTCCCAGAGATGGCAAAAGAAATCACTGCCTTGTACCCACTGTGGTTTTCATGGGCAGAATAACGTTAGTATAAGAGAAGCTCTGGTCAGTAAACCATCAGACATTTTCCACGAGAGTGCTGCCGTGGGACGCAGCCACGATTATCGTGAAGAGCAGGCAGGAACAGATTCACGATACTTGGGTGGGAAAATTCATAGTGAAGTGAATTTCATAGGTTAAATTAATTCCTCTTAAATGGATCACAAATTCTAAGTATTGAGAATTAAATTAATAGCCTTGAGATTATTTTATGCCTAGGCTGATTGAAAAGTTAGATGTTCATTCAATATGCACATAGTTTGCTACAATCTAAATAAAATGATACAATATATTTGGACAAGTGTACAACCACACAGTATGAACATATATGTCATACATCTCCCTATACCCCTTTTCTTTGTAGTATAGATGGGCAAAGCAAAATTCTATTCAACAAAGGAATTCTCTCTAGGATAATCAGTTTCTCCTTGTGAGAAAGAAATGAACCAACTCAATAAAACAGAAAATGGGTAAAGGTCCTGACTTCTATTTGCATGTTTGAGTGAATCAGGCCTCCTAACAAATGAGGACATAGAATAACCAATAGCCATACTGTCTTCAGAGAAACATGGATTAAAGGCACAGGGAGGTATGACTATATGTCCACCAAAATGGCAGGACCCAACAAAATCTGTCCGCACCAAATGCTGCCTTTGTGGGTGGGGTACAACGGGGGCAGACAGCATCTGGCAGCTGTGCCAAGGGAGTGAGTGCCGGATAGCAGGAAGGGTGATGTTGCTGAGAGCTCCTGTGACGGTGTTGGTGTCGTAAGTCCTCCAACCAGCTCAAGCTACTGCCTGTCCCTGACTTCTCTTTGAGACAAAAAGGCTTTAGGTGCATGTGCATATGTACATGTGTGGGTGGGCTTGTGCATGTGTGTGCGTGTGTGTGTGTGTGGGGGGCTTGTGCATATGTGTGTGGGGGCTTGTACATGTGAGTGCATGTGTGTCTATGTGTGTGTGTGTATGTATGTGTGTGTGGGAGGGGCTTGTGCATGTGAGTGCATGTGTGTGTATGTGTGTGTGTGTGTGTATGTGTGTGTGTGTGTGGGGACTTATGCATGTGAGTGCAGGTGTCCACTGAGGCCAGTGCATTGGATTTCCTGCAGCTGGAGTTACAGGTGGCTATGGGCTGCCTGATGTGGGTGCTAGGAATTGAATTCCAGTCCTCTGTAAGAGCAGTATGTACTCTTAACCACTGAGCCATCTCTCCAGCTCCCTGACCTCTTGTTATGGGAAAGCAAACAAACAAATATTCTGGTGCATAATTAAACAAATGAGCCTTTGTCTAAGGTAATGTGGGGGTAGGTTTTCTGTTGCTAACAGCTGAACTTGCTCCCAGCTTACTCAGTGACAACCCAGCTGCTCAGGAATCTTCCTGCTCTGGTGTTTTAGCTCCTTCCAAATGGAAAACTAGTTTCTTTGTTTGTTTGTTTGTTTGTTTTCAAGACAGTTTTTTTTTTTCTGTGTAGCCCAGCCTGTGCTGGATCTCACTCTGTACACCAGGCTAGCCTCGAAATCACAGAGATCCACCTGCCTCTGCCTCCTGAGTGCTGGGATTAAAGGCGTGCGCCACCACCGCTCAGTGAAAAACTATTTCTTGAGGTTTCTTTACTATCTCCAGCTTGTTTGTGCCTCTTAGACTCAGCCTGAGACTAGCAATTTAAAATTATAGTTCAGGGGCTGAAGAGATGGCTCAGAGAGCACCAGGGTTCAGTTCCCAGCACCCACACAGGGCAGCTCACAGCTGCTTGTGACCCCAGTCCATGGGACCCCCCCACCACTCACGCATGTACACACACACACACACACACACACACACACACACACACACACATACACACACACAAACACACAATCTTGGGGCTGAAGAGGCACATCTGCTCAGTGGTTGAAAGGACTTGCTGCTCTTCCAGAGGACCCAAGTTTGGTTCCTAGCACCCATGTCAGGTGGCTCACAACCTGTCACTCCAGTTCCAGGTAATCTAACAACCTTGGTGGGCACTGGCGTAAATAAAAATAAATCTTTAAAAAGAAAGGAATCTTTGGAAATTAAAGTGCAGTGCACTGTAAGACATTATCTTCTTGACTCATTTCTGACTCTTTGTGGGTCCCTGGATAACCCACATGATCTTATGTACACACTGGTGGGAAGGGCAGAAAAACCTCAAGGGATCAGGAAGCAGAGGAAAGTGCCCAAATTTCCATCAGCCAGCCGTGAGTGGCATTAACTGAGTGTTCACACACACACCTCCTTTTTTCTCTGAGTGTGTAAAAGCACATGAGCAAGGACAAGCCCATGTTCCCTGAAGGCCTTTGTCACTGCTGTGGCCTCAGTGCCAGGCCTGTGTGACAATCTATGAGGAGAGGTTGGGGCCAGTGCCAGCGTGCAACCTGAGTCAGGGCTCTGATCTCTGCTGTGCGATCTTTGACGTAGTTCTTGACTTATCTGTAGCTTGGTTTCCTTGTCTCATGGCTATATTGTAGGACAATATATCTACCCTGGGGGTAATTTTAAGCAATAAATGAGTTCGTGCATAAAGAAGCTTGTAAAATTGGTAGCTACGTAAGTGTGAAGGAGGAAATTCTAGAAGTCCAAATATGTCCAAGGAATGATTGATTGGTCAGTATGTCCAAGGAATGATTGATTGGTCAGCATTGTTTCAACAGTGAGGCAGAAACAGGGAAAAATTGTTAGAGATTCCATGGAAGAGGCATTTGACACTCCCTAAGTAAAGTCCTTGGGTTCCATACACGCCTTCTAGAACTTTCCTTCACTCTGGTGTGTGATCTGAAAAGAATGGTGTGGGTGTGTGGGTGTGTGGGTGTGTGTGCGCGCGTGCACACACACATGCAAGAAAGAGAGAGAGAAAGAGAGAGAGAGAGAGAGAGAGAGAGAGAGAGAGAGAGAGAGAGA